TCTTTTTCAATATGCTACATCAGTTATATGCTTGTGATTGTGCCCAAATGAGCATATAGTTTTCTTATGTTTTTTTCACCTTGTAATTTGCTTAGTTTTGGAGGGAGGTGGGCAGTAAGTAATTTTACCTCTTGTTCTCAGGAGTAAGAAGGATGTTTTGCTTTACTGAGCCTGGCTCTTCCTGAATGAGGACTGAGCTTTCTGACCTTTTCAATGGATTCAGACAAGTCCTAGGAACTGCTCCTTCAGACCTTGATGCTCTTTTCTGTTCATTGTATCTCCTGGGATTTCCTTTACCTGCTTTACCTCTAAAGTCTCTTCTTCCTCAGGAGGTAGCAGGGCCCCTTCTTGCTGCTCAGAGGCCATGCGAGGTTGCGTTCTTTCCAGGGCCAGTCCCGCATGTGTCCGTGAGCCCACACCAGCTCATTACGGGGTCCTTCCTCGACCTCAGCCAAGGTTCTGGCTAGATGAGTACCACGCATGGAGCCACAGGAGAGATTGCCCATATCCAGCCTTAGGACTTAGGATTTCTTCTCGTCTCCTCATACATGAACTATGTAAATGCCGTGGGGCCATTCTATTCATTGGCCACTGAGTGCCCCAGCTCATATTTCCTCTTTTTGTGCCAAATTTTTCTCAGTTTTTGAACTAGTTTTCTTAAGGGAGGCCTATCACCCCAGGCTGCCTGGAAAGATGGAATGCAAAGACCCTAGGGACTGATTTGTAAACTCCTGTCCCTCTGATTCATCACCTTACAATATAGAATTAAACATTATAACATAGAAAACAACTGAATCACTAAATTACTCTGGGCAAGGCATCCTAAACAGTGACTAGGATACCAAAAAGAAAATGTTTGGCATTTCAAATTAAGTGGCTTTTTGATGTCTTCAGTGTTTTCTCTAGTTTTTGATAGGGCACCTTTGTGTTCTGTTTGATTTGAAAGAGCCCGAGGTTCTTGACTTGAAAGAAAGCAACTCAGGGTACCATCACTATCACCTACTCAGTCAACATCAAAATTTATTGAGCAACCACTAAGGGTAAAGCATGTTACACTACACATGCTAAGAAAACACATCTTTCTCTTCACACTATAAAGGATGAACCCAAACAAATGGAAATACTCATTTTTTAGTCACTCCTATGAGCACAATTCAAATAGACAGGTGTGGGGTATATAGAGGGGGCTTGTTATAAGGTCTTCAAATGGCCATATCTTTGCATCCAGCTACTGGTTCTGTAAATTGTCTCAGAGACTCCTACATGTAATATGGCCTCAAAATCTTGCAGGAACTGTGAAAAAGGAAACAGGGTTCACCATTTGTTTACAAGAGCATCTCAATGTGATACTGATCAGGCAGCATCTATATTCATGTCTAACCTGCTAACCCATGGACTATCCTCATAGTAATATTCTTAGTAACTTTTTCTCATCAGTAAAAGAGCCAAACATTTTATAGGAATTGTACTTGATCAAAATCCTATGATTGGTTTAGAATTTCTTCTTTGGTACATGTTGGTACAATATTCTTTTCCAAAGTTAAAGTTGATTTGGCCTCTTCACTAAATATCATAAATTCCTTGGGGCAAGAGTCAATACATTCAAAATGAGAAAAAAGAAGGTCTTTTGTTTGAGTTGCCAGTTTTTGCTCAATATCAAGGAAAGTGATTTCCTGATAATATAGTGAGTGTTAGGATAGGCGTTTGCCAACCAGATTGGTTTTCTCCAGAGACCTACCCAGGCCTCAGATACACAGGTCAAGATACAAGTTATTACCCTAAAGACACCCATAATCAGCCACCTACTTCTTCAAGTCCCATGTAGGAACCAATGTAATGGTGATTTGATAAAAGCATAGCAGATAACAACACTTTTTTTAATCCTTGAAAAAACCCCACCCAGGAACCTTTATAGGAAAATACTGTTTTTTAAAGTTCTAAATATAAAACATACTTCCAGGTTTCATTAGCATTTCATTTGGTCTTGATTTATGATTTTCCCCCTTTCTTAGAGACATTTAATCTCTAGGGTCATGTACCTTCAAACAGCCATGATCTCAAATTATAATAAAAGACACATTTTTAGTAGAGGAAAAGCCTGTTATAAGTCCCTCACCACTCAACAAACATAACATCTTTAGAAAACTACAGAAGATGCCCAAATAGTCCTCTTTTTAAAAAAATGATTCAGTTATTTTCTATATCCAAATGTCTGCAACCAGTTCATTTTTGAACAAAAAGAAGGGAAGGGTGGTTCCAAATATAAAATTACACAAAGTTGTTTCTTATTTTTTTTAAATTCTTTATTAGTTAAGGAATTACAAATGTGTCATGCTCTCATCCCCCTGTTGTCCATGTCCATTGGTTCGGCTTATATGCATGCATACAAGTCCTTTGGTTGATCTCCTCCCCTTGCCCCTACTTTCCCTCTGGGAATTAATAGTCTGATCACTGTTTCTCTGTCTTTGGATCTGTCCCTGTTCATCAGTCTATGTTGTCCTTTATATTCCACAAATGAGTGAGAACATGAGGTATTTATATTTCTCTGACTGGCTTATTTCACTTAGCATAATGCTCTCCAGTTCCATTCATGCTGTTGCAAAAGGCAAGAGTTCCTTCTTTTTTTACCACAGTGTAGCATTCCATTGTGTAGATGTACCACAGTTTTTTAATCTACCCATCCGTTGATGGGCACTTAGGCTGTTTCCAGATCTTAGCTATGGTGAATTGTGCTGCTATGAACATAGGAGTGCATATATCCTTTCTGATTGGTGTTTCTGGTTTCTTGGGATATATTTCTAGAAGTGGGATCACTGGGTCAAATGGGAGTTCCATTTTTAGTTTTTTGAGGATGTTTCTTATTTTTGAAGGAGAAAATAAACTTGATAAATAGGCAATCAGCTTGATGAGCAAACTTGTGTAAAGTACCTGCTTTGTGCGAGTCATAATTCTGGGAATGGAGAAGATACGAGAACACATAAAGCATCATAGTCCCTGATAGGGCATTAATTATAGTACCCTCACTATTTTTATAGATGATGATGATTTTCAGAACTGATGTTTACTGACACCCAGATTCCAATATTACATGGCTAGGAGAGAAGTGGTATATGGGATATCTATTCATAGTATATAATTGTTACATAAGTATGTGATGCTAATAGATTGGCTCTACCTGAAACTGGGGGGGGGGGGGGGGTGGGGGGAGAAACAATGCTGGTTTGAGGATAAACATGACAATGAAAGGGGGTTCAATGTGGGACATTGTGAGACAACTATGTGCCTAATGTGTACAAGACACTGTATTAGATGCTGAGAATACAGTGGCACACTAATCAGATAAGATAGCGCATGGGGCAGGAAGGGGGAGACAATTAATGAATGTATAAACAAATGAATGAGCAACTTCAGAGGATGAGAAAGGCTAAGAAGATAATCATGATTACAAAAGAACTTTCTGAGGAGATAACAGGAAGGCTGCAAGCTGACTGATCACACACAGTCTCTGGTACAGAAGAAAAACAGTGGGAAGAGTATTCCAGAAAGAGACAAGAGTAGCAGCAAGTCCCTAAGACCTAAATGGTCTTGACATGTTCACAACACCGACATAAGGCCCCTATAGAAGTAGCATAATGTACGAGGAGAAGGGTGTTACAAGGTAAGTTGGGCAGGTAGGATGTATAGGAAGGGCCTTGGAGAGTGTGGTAAGAAATTATTAGATTTTATTCTATATTCAGTGGAAAGCCACTGGGTCGTTTTAAGTAGGAGAGTGACTTAATCTGACTGCATGGTCAGAGTCTTTGATAGGACCAAGTCAAGAGGCAGAGTCTTTATTAACATTATAACACTGAGGTTTTTGATTTTTGTTTTTAAGAAAGTCAGGCAATATTTATTTTTAAAAAGACATTCCACAATGGAGACTGACATCTCAAATTCAGTATGTCCATGATTGCGATGTCTCCTCAGCAATCCTCCCTCTTTCAGAAATAGAAGCCTAAAGGTTCCAAGCCTAAAGGTTCCTATAAAGGTTCCTGGGTGTTTATAGGCTTCTAGTTTTCAGAACAAAACCATGAAGGCTTCCTTGATGCATCCAATTTGTCAGCAAAGCCTGAGCCCATTTCTCACCTTCTTCATTGCCCAAGGTTGCCTAGGTGGTAGGGTGGCTGAGCGGGGATTTGAACCCCAGCCCCGTCTGGCTCTGAAGCCTGGGTTTTGTTCATGACACCCTTCACGTGGCTAGAGTAATTTTTCCCCCTATGGGGCATTTGGCAATGTCTGTAGCTATTTTTGCTTTCCTACTGGGGCGGGTGCTGCTGGCATCTAATGAACTGAGGCCAGGGATGCTGCTAACATCCTGCACTGCGCCAGACACTCCCACAGTCACCCAACTGATGTCAGCAGTGCTGAGGCCACACTTTGAGAACCACTGACCTAGAGTGGCAGCAGCCCTAGCAAGACTATGTCCATTTACTCAATGAATAAATGTTGGCTATTTTGCAGAAGTCATTGGGATAAAAATAAGCCACATTTGGCTTTGAGCTATATTCATTAAATATTCATTTAAAAAACAAAATATTGGTATATCCAAACAAATAACTTCTTACTTCAATTTAGAATATGAAAAAAATATATTGGTAAATCGAAGCAATTAAATTCCTACTTCAATTGAGAAGATAAATTTCAGTAAAATCCTAAAAGAACAAAAGAGAAAGCCTTATAGGTAGCTGGAGAATATGTTTTGTGCAGTAGGGCCAGGAAAAGCAAAGGCCTGAGGTAGGAGTAGGCACAGGTGTTTAAGGAGCAGCAAAAAGGCCAGTGTGGCTGGAGCAGAGTATGTGAGCAGAAAACTGGCAGGAAATGTAGGAAGAAAGATAAGTGGGAAAGATGTAACAAGCCTCCTAGGATATCGTGAGGAATTTGACATTGACTCTGAGATAAGAGAACAACAGAGGGTTTTGGACAGAGAAATAATATCATCTGACTTTTATTTTAATAGGCTCCCTCTGGCAGCTGTGTTGAAAATAGACTGAAGAGAGACAAGGTTGAAAACAGGAAGATGGCTAGGAGCCACTGCAATGGTCCGGGCAGGGGATGGACTCGGGCCAATCAATGCGATCTGAAATTATAGGAAAGAAGACTAAGCCCGTCGCATGTTAGTCACCAAATTGTTTAGCTATAATCACAATGATCATTACCTTTACTGATAAGTCTCCACACTCAGGTCATGATCACCTGTCACCTGTAATGACTACCTGCTGTCTCAAAACAGCCTTCCAGGTCTTTTACATGGAACCTCGGTCAGTTTCACAGCTCAGCCTTCCAGGCTGCTCCCTTAGCCACAATCCTCCCCCTTCACCAGCTGACATAGCTTCTTGCTGCCATGTACAGAGCCTTGGGAAGCTGCAAGGTCCTCGGGGAGATGCATGGAGTGGCCTCAACAGTCAGGAATAGGCTGCATTATTCAAAAGGAAAAGGAGAACCAAAGTAGCCTCACAGGCCCACCCTGAGAGGGAGTGATGGTGATATTTACCAGTCCAAGAGGATCAGAGCAAACACATACCCCACCTTGATTATTTGGTCAATGCTGTACAAATCACACTCACCTACATTAGCTTACTGATTCTTCCAGCAACTCTGTAGGTTAGGTGTCACTATCTCTATCCTATAGACAATGAAACTGAGGCCCAGAGTCACAGGTCCCAACTAATGGAATGGCAACATGAGAAAGCAAAGTCCCATCTTCTTTCCTTTCCACCAAAGGTTCTCAAACTAGAGCGTGCAGTAGAATCCCCCAGCGGGCTGTTTCTGGGTGACGCAGGTTGCTGGATCCCATACCTAAAGTTTCCCATTTGGTAGGTCTGAAGTGAGGCTGGAGAATTTGCATTTCTGGACTGTTCTCAAGTGATGCCATGCAGCTGGTCTGGGGCCACACTTTGAGAACCACTGACCTATATACTACTGAGTCATTGGAAAAGTAAAGCTCTCACACAATTTATAATAGCTAAGATCTGGAAACAGCCCAAGTAACCATCAGTAGATGACCCTATGTTCATAGCAGCACAATTTACAATAACTAAGATTTGGAAACAGCCTAAGTGCCCATCAGCAGATGAATGGATTAGAAAACGGTGGTATATCTACACAATGTATTATTACACTGCTGTTAGAAAAAAAAAAAAAGGAACTCTTACCATTCGCAACAGCATGGATGGAGCTGGAGAGCATTATGTTAAATGAGTCAGTCAGAGAAAGAGAAGTATCACATGATCTCACTCATATGTGGAATCTAAGTAACAAAATAAACTGATGAACGGAGTGGATCCAGAGACATGGAAGCATGGAACAGACTGTGGAATCTCAGAGGGAAGGCGGGGGAGGGTGGGTGCGAGGTAATCAACCAAAGACCTTGTATGCATATATGCATGTCCCATGGACACAGACAATGGGGCAGTGAAGGCCTGTGGTGGGGGGACAGGGAGAGGCTGGAGGGGGTCATTGAGGGATAAAAGGGGACATATGTAATACTTTCAACAATAAAGAATTATTTTTTAAAAAGAAAGTGAAATAAAGCTCTCATTCTTCATCATTTTTCCCCACCTCCTGCTCCCCAAAGCAAACCTTACTCAACCTTGCCCTTACAAGGAGAAAATGTTCTCAACTTTTAGCCTCTTTGTCTTTAAGATATTTTTCTAGATAACTAGGTATGAATATCCTGAACATTAAAAGCTGCTGAACTTTCTTACCCTTAACAGTGAACCCAGTTTCCCAGTTGTAAAATGGGAGTGACCGAGTTTTCTTTATAGAGATGTTGTCAGTATTAACAAAGATTATGTGTGCATACATACACAGTTTTTAAAAGAGGAACAGGCAGTACTGGCATACAGTAGGTGCACAATAAATGGTGATTATGATTTTCAACACATAATAACTCAGTACTTTGTGTCTGATCTTACACTAGGCCTTGGACATACAGTAGTACAAAGTCTGGCCAGGGAAACAAACAGTAAATAAATCTTAAAATTATTAAACTACAACTGTGTGGCAATGAAAAGCACAGACTATTAGGAGAGACTATTAGGCCAAACTAATCTAGTCTAGGAGTAAGAGAAGGTTTCCTTGAGTAAGTGACATACAAACTGAGACCTCAAGGATGAGTTGGACCAGCCACATGGAGAGGCCAGAAATACATAAAGTGGAGGAAACAGAGTATGCACAAGCTATTTGCTAACTATTATAACATTATACCAAACTCTTAAAGGAGTAGTCAAAGAGCTAAGAGATAACTCCAGTTCATTCTCTTAATTACCACCCAGACAACTTTCTATTTTGTATACTGAAAGAATCAAACTCATGTAGGAAAGCATGGTTCTAAGAAAAATGGAAACATGCTGAGCAAAGAAGAAAAATGTGAATAACAGACTCAATAGTTACTGAGAATAGTCTATAAAGAAAAATAACTCCAATAGCATGTCTATGCCAACAGCCAGCATTCTCATTTCTGACTGAGACCCCAGCCTGGTGGTCTGAGTGTTCAGCCCTAATGTTCATGGAAGCAGAGATGGTCCCTCCTCTTTCTCTTCCTGGGCTAACCTGCTCAGTGTTGACCAGATGTGAACACTAGCCACGCACCCTCCAAACACATAATAATCCCTCTTTATCTGACAGTTGCAGAGTCTTTTCTTTGGGGTGAGATAGCATGATGTCCTAAACTTCTAGGGAGTCATTATTTGATGTGCTAACAAAACCACATTTAATCCTGCATGCACTCAGATTTCCCCAACAACACAGCTGTAGATGACAGGAAGTTGGGCAAGCATGCCCTTTGGGTTGTGGTAAGGGATCCATGGATGTGGCTCTAGCCTTGGAAGCTGAACAACAGTGCTCATGTGGGAACTGGGCTCTCCCCAAGAGCAGGGACCAGCCTAATCTGGTCCTCCAGGCCCCCAGGGGCTTCTGTGTGAAGACAAAGGTTCTGTGTCCTTCCCCATTCACTCCCCTTTAGTCCAGCATCTGCATGTGAGGCACAAACACTTCTTTCTCCAAAAGCGACACTGAGAAATCACACTGCATTTCGAAACTTATGCCAGCATCTGTGGCTCTGGCAAGATAAAAAATGGCACGAAGGCCATTTATCCTCTGGCCATTCTTGCCAAAGACAATAGAACCCATCAGAGGACTAGGTTAGTTTCAAATGCATGGCACTGAAGCTCTAAATTGGCTTTACTTTCCAAACATCTACCCATCCTTAGAAAGGCTCCCAGGTCAACTTCCTCTAAGAACCTTTTCCTGACCAACTAAAGTATATCTTTGTGTGATGCAGCTTTGGGAGAAAGAAAGATAAACAAAATAAGACAGAGAGAGAGCCTAGGAACTACATTCTTATCTGTCTTGGAGAAGGTGCTGGATGAGCAGGTTGACAGGTTCTGTTGCATCCTGGCATGGAGCAGCAGGAAGTCCTGTATCCCTGTGTACTGAGGAAGAGGACAGAGAAACAGCCCACAGGCATGTTTCCCCTTAGCATCCCAGACCTAAGTGGGTTTGTAAAAATGCCCTAACACTTCTAAGTCAAGGATCCAAATTGTTCTGCCTTCATAGGAGAGGCAGGACTCTTGCTTAGGAATGAATACATATATTATCTCAATGAGTCTTGCACTTCATAGGAGATGAAACTAAGGTTTAAAAATATAAATTGTTCATGTCATAGACCACCTTGTGTATTAGATCTGGTTGACCCCAAAGCACTGAAATATCACTTCTCAGATCTGAAAAAGCTGAGCATTTTGGGTAAAGATTCAATAGAATCTGAGTACTCTGGATGAGTCAAAGATTCTCAACTTGCTGTGAATTAATTTCAAATTCCATATAAAGAAGAAAAAAATATTGCAAAAGTCCCTCTTATTCAAGAACAACTCATAACTTCCACTCCCCAAAATATCTGTTCCTATTCCCATGTTTCCTTTCTCAATGAGTGGTACCAACACCACCTATTTCTGCCAGTCAAGGATGTAGAAGTAATTCTGGACATTTCCAGACACAGACACACACAGACACACACACACCACATCCAGTCTGTCACCAAGACCTGCCAATTTTGGCTCCTAAATATCTGTCAGAACTATGTAATTTCCTCTATGCCTGCTGCTACTGTCTAATCCAGGCTACCATCACCTCCCCTGGACAAGCGCAGCAGGTTCTCAGTACCATCCCTACATCAACCACAGCCTCACCCAGTCCCTTTCACTTCTGCATATTGCAGCCAGAGTCTTCTTTTTGAAATGTGAACCTGGTGACATACCCACTCCACTGCCCCTTCCACAGTTCTTAATACATACCAAAAGCTTCCCATTGTTAATAAGACAAAAACCTTAGCATGGTCCTGCATGGACTGACTCTGCTACTTATCTCTCCAGACGCATAGCAAATTATTCTTTCTTTCTGTGTGTTCCAACCACTTATAGTATTATTTGTAAAATGTAGTATTATTTGCAGTCTTCAAACATTCTATGCTTTTTCTCTTCCTAAGACTTTTACCAGTATATAGAATCCACCCAGAATATTCCTCCTCACTGTTATGGCAGAAATCAGGTTGGTGGAAAGCGACAAACCAAACGTGCTTGGAGGTTCAGAAAAGGAGTGTTTAATTGCACCAGTGCTGGCTCAGCGGAATCCTCCTCTCTAGAGGCTGCACTCCGAACAAAGTGGGGCTTGGCCTTTTATATTTTCCTAGGCTCTTTGTCTCCCATATATGGCATACATACACATTTTAGGCATTCTTTCTATGTTACACGTTAAGTTTCCAGGTATCTGTTGCAGTTTGGGGAGGAGGACTGTAACCTGGGACAGTAGAAGCTTGACTAGCAGCAGACCCTACTGGAGCAGAAGCAGAAGAAGCAAGCGGGATTACAGAAGCTGAGGCGTGGTTATGGTGATGCAAGCATGGAGGGGGCTTGCCATCTCACCCTCCCAACCAACTGGAAACTCCTATCCAGCCTTCAAGTCTCAGCTCAAATGCTGAATTCTAGTAGAAGCCTTTCCTAAGTCCCCAGACTAAGACAGGACCTCTTGTTAGATACCCACAGAGCATCCTGTACCTTCTTTTCATGGAACTTATAAAGGTTTGTCATTAGACATGTATTATATAATTATTTTTTTTCTTTCTCTCTCTCCCTCTGTCAGTTGCAAGCTCCCTGAGGGCAGGGCCTGCATTTATCTGCTTCTCTCCTTGGAATCTCTAATACCAAACATAATTCCTGAGACCTATTAGGTGCTTAGTAAATATTTGTAATGTCAGAAGGAAAGATTAAAGGAACGGAAGGAAGCAAGAAGGAAGAAACATGATGAAGACAACTAAGTTGTAGCCTGAATCTCAGGATTGGCTTGGGGAGTGGGGTGGGTGAGTGAGCCCAGCTGCTAAGAGCAGGAAAAGACTGGGTTATGAGGAGCTGCTACGCTCTCCCTGGGAATCCACCTTCTTGGCCTCCTGTGAGGCTATCCTAAGTGAGCCAGAATCTGCCCAATAGGATGTCTTCTAGCCTTTGTCCTACTTTTGTGTCAGGTGAAATCAGAGAGTAGGTAGGAGCTGAAAAAACATTACTACCTTGCACTGGCCTAAAACCCTGACCACATTTATGTAAGCTGTAGCTGTCCAAGAAAGGTCACTGCAAAGTGCGTGGGGAGGTTAGTGTTGTGCTGCTTT